AATCTGAAGAAGTAGAGCTGAAACTGGGGGCACGAGCAAGTTCCCGAAACTCCTCTCGTTTTAATGTGGCTCCAACCAGCCTCTCCCAGTTGTCGTAAATTCTACTCATTTCCACACACAGTTTGGAGAGATATAAGTGCGTAATTATCAATAAACTTCACCCATATAAGAGGAATTTGTTTACAGATGTTGCATATGTTTTTGGTGGATACAAGGGTGTCTGTGCATTCAATTGGTTAAATTTTTTATTTTTTATTTTATTCTAACCAATTAAATACAGTGGAACATGAATGTTGCTTAATATGTATTTTAGAGGGAATGAAAGCTAAGTTCTCAGCATGCAGACATGAAGGGACCCAGAGGAAGCTGAGGAGAAAACGCAGGAAATTGCTGGCTACTTGCTTTTTTCACTTAAAAATGTTATCATTTAGACAAATTTACTTAAAATACCGTTGACTGACTTTTCAGCTTAGCCAAACATGCTCTACACAAGTCAGTCAATTAAAGGGGCGGCTACCTAAAAGGGAATCTGCTAACTGTATTTTAAATGAATGAAAGCTAATTTCTCAGCCTGTAGACATGAAGGGCCCAAAGGAAGCTGAGGAGAAAATGCAGGGAACTTTTCAGCTTAGCCAAACATTCTCTATGCGTCAGTCTGTTTGTTAAAGTGGTCGACTCACCAAATATTTGCGGAAAGAATCGGTTTAGTGTTTAGAAAACTTTTGATTGAGCATTGCTGTATGTTTCAAATTAAGATTTGAGTGTTTGGTAAATAAAAATGCTTTATAGTTGTATTATATTAATGTTTTTATGTATTATCATCGAGAGTATTGTAAAATATATTTTACTTCTATAAAATGTCATATATTTTCATTTTTTATATCATAAATATATTCACCATAGATTAGTTAATTCAAAAGGTCACCCACATACGCAAGTGAAATGTTTAAGGCAATACACTGAATCCAATTAATATCCATTTTTTACATCAACCATATATTGAACAATTCAAATCATTACGAACTTCGTGAGAAAAAAAATTCAGAAAATAATCAACCAAATTCAATCGAATGGGGTAGTGCAGCATAGGACGCAAGTTTGTAACCCACTTTATTTATCGAGGGGGAGAACGAATTGGCGAGTACCACAGCTTTAAGCCAAACCATCTAGTGAAATTGAGGCATTTTGTGTTTGAATAAAATCGGATTTTGATTCAGGTTTTTATTGGTAAATGCAAGTAAATTTTAAAAAGGAAAATAATGTTTAGCTGCATAACCCTATAATTGATACATGTCTTGCTGCAGTGCAAAAGCAATCACACTACTCCATCACTAGTAAAAGATTTTATGTAATCATCACTCAATCAAGAGAAGAAACTGAAAGACTCCAACATTCAAAAACACAAAATTTGAAACAGCCAATTTTAGGGTTGGGCAAAATGTCCGAACCGAACCGAACCGAACCGAATCGAGCGGGTTTTTTAAAATGAAATACCCGAACGGGTATTCGAATCGAGAACCGAATGATTTGGTTCGGTTCT